ATGTCAGTTTAGCATTGAAAGCGAATACCAAGAATCAAGATGATGGATTTTATGTCCCAGCCTAAAAGTGCGTTCACTCATTTAGCTTGGTTTCCAGCTATTCTGAAAAACATACATTTTTATAGCTCCATTAACTTCCGTTGAGCCAAAAGACCATGCGTAAATCAGTTGGCGGATATTGGCGACTTTATGTTCGCCTTCAATTCCGCCGCATATGCAGCAAACGTACGCACTGGAGAACACGAATAAATTACATACACTAATCTTGCCACAGCCGGATTTACGTTTTTGTCGCCTCCCCTCCCGGACACGTGATGCGCACGAAATATAAGTTTCGGAAACACGGCAACAGCGAAATCCGATTCTGTGATAGTGAGAAGGATGCGCATTTGTGCAGAAAAGTATTGCAAACAAACATTCAAGGAGGAGTAAATGATTCTTCGAGGAATGAGGATTTCTGACGCGAAATGAAACATAGTAAAATATTAAATTAAATGTTAATGCTAAAAAGCGAAACCTCGTAGGTATCTTCGTCGCGGTGTTTCAGAATTTCCGCTTCTATTTTAATTGTTTCCAAAGCGAAACAAGCAAACTTTATAGCTTGAGATTTATAATCATATACATAATACTCTGCTTACAGTAAAAATTTCATGAGAGTTTCCAAGAAAATACGTTGACTATTTTTTTTTCCGAAGAATAAATAAAGTATCAAAGGAAGTCTGCAACGTGGCAAATAGAGATTTGTGGTCTCGAACTTTGGTCATCTATGTACTCACGTTTTCCAAAATTCGCCGCCTGGTACCATGGCACCATTGGCCCTCCCTTAGATCCGGCTCTGCTAGTCACGGCTTTTCAAAGGGTCCTCGTTAAGTTGACCCTTACTTTAGGGCATCATTTCAGTCGTTTTCCCCCGGATCTCTCCTTTAATTGTCGGCATGGAAAATGGGGGAGGGGAGAAATGACTATAAGTTATTATTATTTTTCTTTCAAATTTGCAGACAATTTTTATCTAATTTCAAAGAAAATTCTCTGATAAATTAGAAGAAAAATGTTGAAAAAATTTCCCGGAAATTTGTAATTTTTCAAAGGGTATTTGGCATTGTCTGTTGGCTCATACGGCGCAAAGTGGATTGAGTCAATTAGAGAGGTCGGACAAGAAATTTTTGACTAAAACTGCTTTTGATGTTTATTTAGCCACATTATAAACTTTAATGGGTGTTTCTTGAAGGACGTTTAACGGGGAAAGCAACGAAACCACTTTTGGAATCTCAAAGTTTTTTATAAACGGTGTTATAAGCGTTTAAAGTTTTCAAATTTTGTCCGAATTCTCCTATTGGCTAGATCCACTGTGCGGTGTTTTTCCTTGGCATGACAGTAAACTAAGCGGTATTTTCAGAGACGGTCTTTATAACGGCAATTTTACACCAGTGACTTCGATTTCGTTAAGTTTCTATTCGGACCGCGTTAAACAGAAAGGAACCAAGTCTCATCAGCTATCGGCAAATTTAATTGGGCAATTTACTTTTTAACATGAAAACAATTGCGCGGGTTTTCGTGCAAATTCCGGTGAAAAATCTCTATAGTTTGAAGCAAATTCCTTAAAAATTTCAAAGGAATCCGCACGGACGTTCTCTCGTAAAAAATTTAATTGCCCGGTTAAATTTGGCGACAGCTGATATGGCTTGGTTCCTTTCTGTTAAACTCGGTCCATTTGGCCCATTCCACTCATCGCTGACCGATTCAGTGCAGTGCAGTGGCTGGACATGAACGTCGATGTCGCGTCGCGCCGATAGCGAAAGACGCTATGGGATTCCTGATAATACCCTGATCGCCGCGCCGCCGCGCCGCCGCGCCGCACATTGGTTCCAGAGCCCGATCTAGGCGGCATTAATTCGAAAAAATGACTTTTGGAAAAATTGAAAAATAGTACAACTGGTCGACACTACATACTTTGGAGAGTATTTCGGCCAAATATCATGATGATTGGATGAGTGATAAGGAAATGATAAGCTCCTAAAGGTGAGCGCGCAGGCCGTTCTCTCTGCGGCTGTATCCATTTCCTCACTCATTCGAGTGATGTTCCTAATAGAGGTTTGTTGCCATTTTGGGCAAAGAAACAAGGTTTTGAAGGTAGAATCCTAATATTCAAGTAAATTTGAAGGTTTACGATGCTTAAATCATAACTTTAGATTAAGTCTATGGCTCTAGATAAGCCATTAGACATAACGCTATTTTACGTTAATTTCGCGAAATTTTCCATATAAATGGCTGAAAACAACTACTTTGCCGGCCTTTGCCGGGTTTCAAGCGGCCATTTCTAGTTAGTACTAATCCTAGGCATGATGTAGATATAAATATCTTTTGCCAGTTTTTGCCTATTTGTGAAATACAGCCTTTTAAAGGTCGCCCGCTCAGCCCTCATGAGTACTGTATGTGGGACGTTACGGGTGGGCGATATCGTTCGACCACTCAGGCAATGTCAAAAAACTACTTTTTTCCATGATATTCATTCAGAAGGAAGTTTATTCAATCGGTTTTCCACAGAATTACACAAAAATATCACTTCCACGGGCGTGCAAAACTCTGAGGAGATCAAAATTTTTCGTGTTAAAAATGATCTAATACTACTAAAACGGCCAAAAACAACTACTTAGCCGGCCTTTGCCGGGTCTCAAGCGGTCATTTCTAGTTAGCACTAATCCTAGTCATGATGTAGAGACAAATGTCTTTTGCCAGTTTTTGCCTATTTGTGAAATACAGCCTTTTAAAGTCGCCTGCTCAGCCCTCATGAGTATTGGATGTGGCTCGCGTGACGGGTGGGTGATATCGTTCGACCTCTCAGGCAATGTCAAAAAACTATTTCTCTTATGATATTCATCCAAAGGGAAGTTTATTTAATAGGTTTTCCGAAGAATTACCCAAAAATATCATTTCCATGAACGTGCATAACTCTGAGGAGATCAAAACTTTTCGTGTTAAAAATGATCTACTACTACCAAAACGGCCCAAAACAACTAGGTACTTTGCCGGGTCTCAAGTGGCCATTTCTAGTTAGTACTAAGTAATCCTAGGTAGTAGTCCCTGTACAGAGACAAATATCTTTTGCCATTTGAAGCGAAAAAAATATATTACAACATTTTGAATTTAAGGTTGCTCTGGAATTAAAAAATCAACAGGCATTGCAGTTTCGTGAATTTTTTCCTGCTCACTGGTCAAAATGGTTTGATAGGGGCGACACCCTTTTATTGAATTTTTATACTGCCATTTCTGAAACTGCAACCAGGAGTAGATTCCAAAAACAGATCATGCTGACTGGATGCTTCGTGAAGTTATTCAATGTAACAACACCCCCCCCCCTTCTTCAACAAAAATAACCATCAGGGTCTAAATATTAGTAAAATAGAAGATCGCTCTTGATGACCATAATCATTAAATTTGTCAAAATTATCATAGTTCAAGCACAGAGCCACGTTGTCAAATTATTAATCCCGTGTTGAGTGCGAATTTGCTATTTTACGCATATTTACCATATTATGGTTAACGATAGGGTCAAATTGACTTTAAATTCGTGATCAGCGACCCAAAAAACACATATAAGCATATGTTGCACGCTGGTAAGGGTGTTATTCTAATTAATGCTGCCTAGATCGGGCTCTGGAACCAATGTGCGCCGCGCCGCGACGACTCCTATCCTATCTCAGTCCCCCCACCTGGAACTATGTCCATTCAAGAGCTGGTGCGCGACTCATTCCGCGGGCCGCCGTAGCTGTGTATATGCCGGGTTGCGGGAAATCATTCAACGCAGGAACTTCGATCCTGCTTGTACTGTGTGAACACGTGACTGCTGCGTGCTCTGAGTGTATAGTTCTAGCTAGGTAAAATGAAGTGTGTTTTCATTTTATACACATGTATTACAATCGGAAACGAAGACGGACAAAGAATACTGTGTGAAAAAAGAAAATCTACTGTGTGATCGAGAAAAGGAAGAAAATCTGCCGTGTGAATCTGCTTTCTGTGTGAGTATAGTCTACCCTCTGTGCGAATATACTAACTGAAATATCCCAAGTAGCAAAATGGAATTTTTCCTGAAAAAAATTATGAAGAAAATTTCTAGACAAACAAAGAAAATGAGAGTTAGCCAGAAAATAGAAAGAAAAAACATTGCGAGTCAAAGGTCTGACCAAAGAAAATAGATCTATTTCATAGGTCTACTTTCTGTCAACTTAGAAAATTTATTGATAGTAGAATTATTTTCTAGCCAAGTTCTTAATGTTTTCTTTTAAGAAAATGCAAGGAAAAAATGTATTTTCTTTCTATTTTCTTGTGTCTATTTTCTAGATCTACTTTATACCTATTTTCTTTCAAGAAAATTGTTCTACCTAGAAAGTAGACATTTTCTTGATGAGCGCCATCTAGAAAGTAGATGATAATGCTACTTGGGATAGTGAAAAAAAATAATTGTGTTAATCCTCCTTTGTAAAAATGTAAAATGGCGAACGATGATGATGATCCGCCGCAACAAGTTTTTAGTGCGTCTCTTACCCTCTCGATCCCCACCATATGCCAAAGGAATTAGATTTAAAAGTGTGGTTCGAAAGACTTGAGCAATGGTTTGGTGGATGGAGTACCGGACGATAAAGAAATTTCTGTATTTCTGTCCTTACCAAATTCGGAAACTTATGCCTTGATAAAAAGTTTAGCTATTCCTGCAGCTAACTTGTTTAAAAAAAAGGCAGTAGAATACCGAACTAAAAATTATAAGCCAAACCAGTCAGAAACAGCGTTGCGTTATACTTTCCGTGAAAGAATAAAGCAAAATGAATCCATCGGTGAATCTATAGCGGAATTGATCGGCACTGATTCGATTGACGACCGAGAATCGATCGATAAATCCGTGAATCGATTGACAACCCTGTGATTCGTTCGAAAAATCCGTGAATTGATCGATAAACCCGGGGTCGAAAATAGGTCAACAAACCCGTGAATCGTGAAATTTTGAAAATTCGAAAATCCAAGATGGCGGATGTGGCCTAAAATGATATCTCGGCTCCCGTTCGATCGATCATGCTGATTTTCGGTATCAGAGGGTATTTTTCGACGGGAAACTCGAATTTCTGGTCAAATTTTGAAAATTCAAAAATCCAAGATGGCGGATGTGGCCTAAAATGCTATCTCGGCTCCTGTTCGATCAATCATGCTGATTTTCGGTATCAGTGGGTATTTTTCGACGGGAAACTCGAATTTCTGGTCAAATTTTGAAAATTCAAAAATCCAAGATGGCGGATGTGGCCGAAAATTACCTTACTTGAGTAAGTATCCCCTGGGGGATCTTTCATTCCTCGGAAACACGCGTATAAAAGGGAGCTCTACCTTCTCTATCGCTTCCTTTGTTACCTCTTTCTTCTTGTTTGCTTCTTTTATCTCCTTCATCTCTTTCTCCATTTTCTCCAATTGTAGTCTCATTTGTACCTGTTGCGTTTGGAGGTATTTTCTATTTTTGTTCTCAGTTTCTTTCTGCTCTGTTATGGCGTTGAGTATCTTTTGCATATCAGCCTCTCTTCTCTTGTTCTCTTCTGCCAGGATTATTTGTATTTCGTATTGGCTTTGGCTGGCCTGAGCGTTGGCTTGGTTGCTCCTGGTCACCTCCAGTACTTGCTCTAACTTCCTTATTTTTGCTATCAATCTCTTTGTGACTCCGGCGTAAAACTCGTCTGTTTTCTTAGTTTTCTGGAAAGCTCTTTTTCCCTGCTTACTGTCGGAGTAATATCGTTGTAGCTCTTCTTGCAGGCTCTGAACTCTCGCCCACTCTGCTGCCGCGACGTCGAACTCTACATCGTTTTCTTCTTCCCTAATCTGCGGTGTGAAGAAATCTTGGAGGGACGTCGTTGACGTGCGTCTCGATTGGTTTGTAATATCGAGTGGGTCATCGATTGGGTCCACACAATGTCTTCGTCGTCTTCGTTTTCTTTGATCCTTTTTGCTTCTTCTTCCGCTTCTTGATCCCTTGTTCTTTTTCGTTTAAGTTCCTCTTGTGCTTCCATCTGCTCTTCTTCTTTCTGTTTTCTTGTGTCCTCCCCGGGGGACTCGCATTCTCTGTCTTCCACTTCTTTGAATTCCATGTGGAAGCTCCTTTCTGTTCCAGTCTCGTCCGAGTCGCTTTGTGTATATTCTCGTTCCGACTCCAGACTACTTTCTGAGGAAGGTGATGAAATTCTGCTACGTATGCCATTTTGTAGCCTTTCATTATCTTCTTCTTGTCTTCTTAGCATCTTTTTGATCTCTCTCTCTCTCTCTTTTCCATTCTTTTCCTTGTTCTTTGTTCTTCTTCCCTTCTCCTTTGTTCTTCTTGCTTCTCCTTCTCTAGTTTGGCTAGCTCTTCTTTCTTCTTCTCTTCTTCCTTCCTCCTTAGTTCTTCCGCTTTTTTCTTTTCTTCTTCCTTCTATTTGGCTAGTTGTTGTTTTCTGATTTTTATTTCTTCTATCCGCTTTTCCATGTTTCTAATTTCTTCTGCCATTTCTTCTTCCTCTCGTATGTTCTCACTCTGGTTCTTCTTGTACTCCTCGAATTTTTCTAGTTTTCTCCTCTCTGATTCCAGCGCTTCTTCTTCGATGGTTTTAGCTTTTGGAGCATCCTTCATCTGTTTGTATTTTTCTAGCTTCCGCTTTTCGGTTTCTCTGGCTTCCTCTTGTTCCTTTTCCAGGTTCCTCTTGTTGTTTCTTTTCTTCATCTTCATTCCCTGTCAGGTTTGCTCCACTCTGGAGATTGCCTTTTTAATCTCCGTTTCCGAGTCTGCTGTTGAATCCTCGGTTCGGCTGTCCACAGCCCTTTCTTTGTGTTCTCCTTTTTCTTCGTCACTGCTTGATGATGTTTGACCAGTTGGAACGGCCATAGCAATGAGGTCGTTCGGGGCGATACTGCTTCCATGTCCCGTCTGCTCTTCCTTCTTTACCTCGCTGTTCGCTATTACGTGCTGATGTCTTGCGAACCATATAATGTATTCTGCCTCTGTTTCTTGGTGTGTACTTCCTCCCGACCCTCGTTCAACAGGGCTGCCGGAGCTTCCCGAGGGCCATCCTCCTCCTTTCCTGATTTCTTTTCCCGATCCGCTTTCAACAAGGCTGCCCAAGCTTCCTACGGATCACCCACCCCCTTCCTTCCTTCCTCTAATTTAACTCTTATCTCTATAACCTGACTTGCTTTCAACTAGGGTACCCAAGCTTCCAGCAAGTCAGCCTTCCCCATTCCCTGCTTTCTTTTCCCGATCCGTTTTCAACAAGGCTACCCAAGCTTATTCCTACGTATCATCCACCCACCTTCCTTTCTTCGCACGGAGGAGGGCGGAGAAAAGCTTTATGGCCTTCCCCGTTGCCTCCTTCATGTGTGGAGTGGACTTAGGAGACCTTTATTTTCTTCTTTTTTCTTTTTTTTAATTGTTTAATTAAGGGGACCTTACCCTAATAGGGCATTTTACCGTCCCCTCTATTGGCATCTTTTACTTTTGGCATTGGCATCTTTTACTTTTGGCATCTTTTAGGCTTCATTTTTCTTTTATTTTATTTACTTCTTGTTTTATTTCTCTGTATACTAGCTCCTCCTCAATCTCTGTGTGCCTTTCACTTACTTTTACTTTTTACTCGGTTACATTGCTCGTGGATGAGGTCACGAGGACGTCGACCCTTATATAAAATGGACAGCTTTATGCAATAAGGAAGTAGGGTCAAATTTTCGA